GAGTAAACATAATAACGGATTATCTGCAAGAGTTCCAAATCTCTTACAAGAAAATCGATGGATTTATCATGAGTGTTCCGATTGTGCGTTGGCATAGAAAAAATAGACTGAGTTCGACATAAAAGCCCTATTTATTATCAACGGCATGCATGCATTCCAGATTTATTTCCGTGTGATATCTGAGGTATAATCGCGTGTTCGTCGAACCCCAAGTGTCATCAACTTCTAAACGAAGATAGGCCGTTGACTTTTGCTTTGTTTAGAAACGTTGCACTCCATTGGCCGGTAGTAAATGCGTAGTAAAAGACACGAATCCATTGCGAGCAGATGTTCCTTATTTACGTTTCGATTTTTTCCTCAGTCAACACACACATGCGTAGTAGAAATGTCGTAGTACCGAGTTGTAATGTTTCTGGGGTCCTGCCAGGAAGCCACTAAAGCATCCAAAGCTTCCCAAGCCAAAAAACCAAAATACCCGACAGATGTTTCCAGCTTTTTATTGCTAATAGACAACACTTTACAATTGCCGCTACTATAATAGTCATTAGCTATTTGGGTCACATACTTCCTTTGCCCGAAACCGTATCAGATGGCATTTCCCAAGCGTGTTCGTTGGGATAATAATATTTCATTTTTTTTATCTGCACAATGTCAGGCGTCTAACCTCAATTCCACGCTCGCATTATCAGTAGCAACATATTTGTTTTTTTGATCCAGATTTTTTGTTTTGGCGCTACACAGACGAGAATGGAGAGATGGGAAATCATTAATGTTCGATTTTAGCTCTAGCTTCAACTTCTTCAGCCAAACTACGCTTTTTCAATTGCTCACTGTTTTTTTTTCATAATTTGTTTCCATCTTTTTGTGTTTGCCTTCAATTAGGTACATTCCTCTCGTCTTATATTATTTCATATTCATTTCATTTCATTTCATATAGTCAACCATCCTGGAACACGAGCAACTGATGTGTCCAGAACTGTATTCGGTTTTGCGATGTCTTAGATTGTTTATGAAATCTCAGGTCCCATTGTATTTTGTTCATTGTTCAAGAAGCAACATTTTTACCTTGACTTATAGCATAGCTACATACATCCGAAAATAACCCAAGTTTAATAAAGTAGGTAAAGAAAACTTAATAGTGCTTTTTTACACATTTAGAGGTATTGAAAGTGAATTTCATTAAATAGAAAATTGTTAATTTTAATAAGAGCATCGAGATATTGCAACGGTATTTTGTAAAATGTATGTAGGATAGGTTCACATCAAAATTGACACTTTTCAATGCAACGTTTGTCTTTCTGTTCTTAATTATTAGTCTTTCTGACGTTACAACCATGTAATGAGTACATAAATCACTCGCTGTAAAGAAAAATACTATTTTGAGGTCGGCGCGATTGTTGGGTGTTTTTTTTTCACGAAACCAATTTTCTTATACATCTTCCGTGTTACATTGAGCCCTAAAACTAAAATTACTTTCATTCAGTCAATTTCCATTGAAAAGACGACTTTTTCCCTAAGGTGAATAATTTAGGGAGAAAGTGCGCTTTTTTCGCCAAACTTAGCTCTGATTTTCGTAGCATGGACTTTAATAGGCATTTTATGTTGAAAATGGACACTGTTATTTAAAATTTAAACTCTAACACATAACTTGTCCAAATGTTTTTCATTTTTTCTCGAACGTTTCCGTTCCCGTTTATCGAAAAATTAGCCTGATTTTTTGAAAAATGCCTTTTTGAAGGCAATACTCTCTGTTCCTGAGTCCAAAATCTCGTGCTGCAATTTTTTTGTTTGGTTTTAAATAAAATATTCAATTTTACTAAAGTTTCTGACGTTATCTCCAATATCAACTGATATTATAATATCAGTATTGTAGGTAACCTGCAGATGAGTTAATTGCAAGTCTAGTCAAATTTCATCACCCAGTAAACTGCTGTTAAAATTAGTGTATTTTCTTTATGAAACACCTTGTAGATTAGTTCGGCAAAAATGGTCTACGGTAAGTTTGCTCAATAAGTCGTAGTAGTTTTTTTCGACAGTGAAAGTTTAGAATGTGCATTACATTACTATACCATAACGCTCACTATATTTATTTTATGCATTTCTCAGTGTCTAATTTAATTTTGTTCGACTTTAACATAATATTCAATTGTGCTAGAAGATTGAAAAAGTGATTAATTTTTCACAGTTAATTTATGAATTTACTTGTTTACTTAACTAAGTAAATATCTAAGAATCGCGTCTTTATCAGATAATACTAATAACATAAAAACAATACAATGTAAATTGAGAAGTGAAAGTGGCACAACTTCGACTGTACTCACTGCAGTAAAAGTCCAGATTGAATGTTAATTCGCTGCGAAATAAGTGTTTTTGCAAAATCCACCCAACAAGTTTGTTTTGTTTTCTGATTTAAGCTTAGTTTTAGCTACAGAAGAAATAAGTAAAGGGTTATTGATTGATCTCTGGCTACCCCGTTTTTGCATCTAATTTTAAATTTAGAGAAAAATGTTGTAGATATGTTCGATCAATAACCCTGTACACTCGTACTTCACTACCGAAAAATAAAAAAAGCAACTCATAAAACTGGCTTTATTTGCATGTGTTAAATAATAAATAAAAACAATCTGTAGAAAACATCAACTGAAAGTATTATCTAACAGGTAAAACTACAAATTGAACACTCAATAAAGCTGAAAGCAACGGTATCAAATACGATTTACAAATACATCAAAGCGATGATTTGCAAAGGTAAAAGCGCATGCAGTTAAAATCATATACTTGCATTAAGATTTAAAGTATTAATTTCAGTGGGGCAGGAACAATTTTTTCAACTAAATTTTTATCGGAATTTAAGTTTGTTATGTTTTTTTTTGCAAGATTATTACGTAAGTTTCTAGCTGAGCGTAATTATTCTCAGACTAGCATCGGTGTATTTCAAGCACAAGCCGGAATGAAATATTTTAATAAGTGTGAGTCAATGTGATGTATTTGTTTTAAATATAAATCACTTGCGGTTTAAAGAAACCAAACAAATGGGCGATCAGCGCAGCATATATATATATATATTCTTGTATCAAAACTACAAGCATGTTTGAATAAATATGTTTACATATCGAGTAAATATTTGTGTTGTTTGAATTGATTAAAATTTTAAATCTGTTTTCTTGTATTAAACCAGACTAGTTTTCAAACAATCGGTTTTTGCTTTTGGAGTCGAATTGTTTCTAGGAAACCTAAATGAGTTAAACTTGAAACTATGTCAATTTATTGGTGTTTAGACTTGATTATAGGTATGGATTTTCATTTAATTCATTCACTGGTCACTCGAAGTTTAACTTTGTGTTAAATTTATCCCCCTGAGGCTTCTGGGTGATTGTTTTTTTAGAGAAAATTTTAAGTTAAATGTTTTATTTTTTAAAAAGCAGACAACTGCTAGTCTTTGACTCAAATGAAAAGATCATCACTTCAGGCGCAGTTCATAATCTCGCTGTTATCGGCAAGGTCTTAAACGTGTACCGACGAGTAGTACTACATCCTACAAACTCCATTGTTAGTTGGATTAATCGGCGATACTATCACGAGACATTGGATTTTACGATACAGCCGTAGTAGGTGGAACCACTTACTTTTAGCCTGGAACCATAACATTCGACATAGAAGGTTCCGATAGGTTTGGCAACAACAACAGTTCAACGTTGATAGCCTGCTGACCCCCTTTTTTTGATGATAAAGTACCGTTTTTAAACCGAGTCGGTGCGTCTGCGAACTTGATTTACTTTTCTACCCATTCACACTTTGCGGGTATTTATGTAAATATAACAAACGATCGATCATTCCTACATTAGTGTCACAATGTGTTCAGTTTCGAGACTTATTTTCAGCAGGTTGTTGTAGGTAATTAGTCTCAAAGTGTTATTCAAATTTTATCAGCTTTGGGCTCTTATTTAGACGATTTACTGGACACTTATGAACTCTACAGAAATTGTTGATTTAATAATCAGTTGATTTTTTCAATTTAAATCGTCGATTTGTATAAAGTATTGATTCAATCAGATGATTTTCTCTGAGACTGAATTATAGTTGCAAAAATGTTTTCGGTTACATCATCTGTATCTGAAACTTGCTCTAGTGGTGTGAAATTGTGCATTATCAGCATCAGATTAAACGGTATATATTTCGCCTCTACTTTTGCTATTAGCGATAACAACTGTTCACAATGCGGTTTTGTCTTCACTGCTTGCAATTCTTCATAAATTTGAAGATTGCCATTTGGAAATTTTGTTTTTGTTGCTTTAGATGTATGTATTTTAAATATGTTCTTCGTTCATTTTAAATGAATGTTTCACATGGGCTCACATCACTCGCCAATAGAAGCAACTTTCTTCCGTCGAATTCACTTGAAACCAATTCTAAATCAATTAAAGTTAGAATAAACCATTCAATCGACAGAAAATATACAGTATTATTGACTTGATTTTACGAAATAATTATGTTGAGCTGTGCAGAAAACCCGACCCCAAATGGAGGACTTGGGGTCCCTTCAATCATGCCGCCAGTTCTTCGCTAATATCTTAAGACTCATTTGGACACAAAAGCGCATTTTTACATCATTCGATACATTTACACCATGTGAAACATTGACAGTGTTCGTAGAAGACCCAAGATTCCCACACTTTTAACGTTAGATTAGCACTCAAATGCTCATTTTTGCACCACTAGATCGTGCACGGAAGACGCATTTTGCGGTGTAAAACATTGGTAGGTTTCGCACAAAACGTGATGTTCATATACCCATTTTTAACGGCGGAATTGACAATATTTGGCCATCGGTTACATGCCGCCAGCTTTTCGCTTACATCGCAAAAACTATTGGAACTAAAAAGCTTATTTTTACACCACTTTTCGCATAACATGCTGATTCTGCAAGCAATTCAGCTAAAAAAACAAAACTTTACGTTGTTGTAAATTTAAAGTCTAACGTTTGCATTGTTTTGTTGCAGATTTTATGAAAGCTATGAAAAGACCGCTGACTTCATCGGACGTTTCGAAGAAGTCATCATCAGATTGGAACACGGAGGTACCAACGAAAATACCAAGACTGGATATTTCCAGTTAAGTTGCTGAAAAGATTGGGCAATCCAGCTTTGCAAGGGAATCCCAAACAGTCAAACGAAGCCCATTCGTTGTGATTCAATTTCCAAATACACCAAGGCAGATTTTTGTATGTTTGGGTTTCCCGGTAAGTTTTTTACCTTCTTCCACTTGATACAAATCATTGTTGATCTCCAAAACAAATTTATTTTATTATTATTTTTTTAAGTAGAGTAAAATATTAAGTTTTTGTTCAAAGAATTATTAAATCGTATATTTTAATTCTAGGAACAGTTGATTTTCCAGATAGTCGTTGAATAAGAGGGCTGCAAATGATGCGTCCATAATGTCTCAAATCAATTCAAATTGATTGTAATTAATTGTCTGGAATATTTAACTGTTCCTACGACAGCCGTAGGTTACTGTACTATAAATTTGTTGGTCTTTAGACTTTAATTATATTTATTTTTCGTGTGATCTCCCAAAAATCCTTTTGTTGGTGTTTTTCCCTTCCATGAAATGATATCTTCTTGTTTCATTCAAAATTCTTCATCAATCAGCGACGCCGTAATTGTTTTAAATCAATCAATAGCTTCCACTAAGTCATCAAAATATCCCCCTCAACATCACATTAGTACCTATGAGAGATTCAAGCCATAAAAGGAGCGTGTATATAATTTTAATGTAAAAACTAAATACGAAACTCTCCCACCCTGTATAAAGCGTTGTACATTGAGCACTGATTTGTTTGGATTCGTATTGTTTCGGTGGGGCCACCCAGTAAAATTGGGTGTTCCATATCTGTATTGTACAGAAAACTTTTATTCATCTACAGGGTAGTCGTTGCGCGCCAGCTTCAAGACATACCGTGCAATGCTGGCAGTGTACCAGGTGTAAATAAACAACTTAAGTTGGTGGCAACGATTTAAGGTATTTTTGATTTTTTGATGATGCCCAAAACCCAATTGCTAAAGTTATTGAGGATTAAGACAAAATTAATAGGGGGTGGAAGATGGATTCCGTGCACAAGGAGCATATTGCGTCCTTTTTATTCAGCTCGTGTGGTCAATTCCATACAAAAAACAACTTTATTGTACAAGATTCAAGTAGTTCACGAGTAAAGTACGATTAGTCCTTGAGCACATTGTAGTTAATTGGTAATCAAATTGACTACATACTTTTTATACCTGATGTTTTGCTTTTTATTTAGAACGTTCTGGCCCAAAGAAATTGAGTACAAATTTGACCATTGTCAATGAACATTTTTGCAGAGTTCGGTGGCATAATCTGATCGGGATTGTGCCAAAATTATGGCAGCTTTGCGCCCAGTTGTCTGAAAAAAAAGTTGTCGTTTTGGGATTATTTAACAGATTTCGGCTTTTAAGGGTCTTTTAGTACAGTTAAGGCTACCTTGTTCATATAGGGTGATTTTGGGTAAGACAGCGAGGGTATTTTTTAAGGAATTGCCACAACAGTCCGTATTTTCCATTTTTCGAGAAGCGGAAGAGTGCGTAGCATGGAAAATGCGACTTTATTGCTATCTCAAAGTTCAAAAGGAAAAATACCTACTTTAACGCCGTAATTATGATTAATAGACATGTATAGTTATTAAAAAATGCCCTCTTTCGATTGGTTTGGTATGTAAACAGACATATTGAGCGTGGTTGCAGATCTCAGTGGTTCTGCAAGTAATTAAATTTTATTATTAAGGTTTTGTTGTCTGGGCTCGGAAGTTTGGAGGTTTGCCCCCCACAGTTCGCCTGGACGATGCAATATTAATTATCAGACATTTTGAGATGGAAAACAATACATATAAATATATAAAACGTAACATCTGTGATGTATTAGATGATGATCTCAAAATAAGAGAAAATATATTAATATATTTTGCAGAGGCTTTTAGTCTGATCTCAGGAATGGCGGTTGGCCCCTGCATGTAATTCCTCTAACCAAAACCTGAAGTTTTGCATTCAGGGGCCTGGTCGAATTGCACTTGTTAAAAATGCAAGTCAAAATTGCAGAGGTCAGTTGAAAAGAATCTTGATCGATGAAGAAATAATATTATTAGAGCTACGATTTATAGATTAAACTAAATTAATGTAAATTTGTTGTAAAAAATAACATTTTAGAGTATATGTGAAGCTAATATTAAAGGCTTCCTTTTGTTAGTGTAAATTGTTGTTTTATTTCAACAGTCCTTGTCAGAACATCCAAAAAGTGATCGTTTAACGTGTTTTACCATCGTGCTACTCGGAAATCGTGAAAAGTGGTGTTATTGTATTCTATTTTGAGTGAGGAAATTTTATTAGTTTTGACCCAGAAAGTGAAATTTGAATATCAGACACTTTGGTGCAAGATTATGCGAAACTTTCATGTTTTCCACTCCCGTTTTCGTTCGTTTCTCGGAAGCAAAATGAGCATTAACGCTCATTTTTACATTATTCCAGATAGAACTAAATAGTATTTTTAGAAAGTGAACTATCTATAACGAAGTGTTGTCAGTTTTGTCAAAAGTGTTGACTTCAAGAAATTTTAGATTTGCGTGTATTTTTTTTTTTTTTAGTTGGAAAATCGACTCAAACATGACGCTGCTTTTTTCGAATTTTCTCAAGAACCATTTGAGTCACAGAATTCGCTTTGGCATCGTTGGATAGAGAATTGAAAATTTGCAGCCATAATAACGCGACTGAGAAAAGTCGAGCAGTTTTGACCCAGAAAGAGAAATTTGAATATCTGACACCTAGGTGCAAGATTATGCTAAAATTTCATGTTTTCCGTCCCGTTTCTGCTCGTCTCTCAGAAGCAAAATGACCAAGAACGCTTGTTTTTACATCATTCTAGAGAGAACTAAATTGCCCTTTTAGAAAGTGAACCATCGATAAGGAAGTGTTGGCAGTTTTCTGTAGAAAAGCCTTGATTTAAAGAAGTTTTAGATTTACGTATTTTCTACAACATGACGCTGCTTTGTTTCGAAGTTTTTCAAGCCCCATTTCAGCCACATAATTCGTTTTGGCATGGTAGGATAGAGAATTGAAAATTCGATTCAGTTGTAACAACATGAGCAAATTCGAGTAGTTTTGAATCAGAAAGCAACATTCGAGTCTCGGACATTTAGATGCAAATATCATGTGTTCCGTCCCATTTTTGTGCATTTCTTGGGAGCAAGAATGCTCATTTTTACATCATTCCAAGGAAAACTAAATGGCCTTGTTAGAAAGGGGATCATCATCATCATCATCGATAAGGAAATGTTGGCAGTTTTCTTTAAAAAGTTTTAGATTTGGGTTATTTTTTAGTTGCAAAATGGACTCAAACATGACGCTGCCTTTTTCGAATTTTCTTAAGAACTATTTGAGCCACAAAATTCGTTTTGGCATCGTTGGATAGAGAATTGAAAACTCGAATAATAATGACATCAGTGAGGAAATTCAAATAGTTTTAACCCAAGAAAGTGAAATTAAATATCAGACACTAAGATGCAAGATTATGGGAAAATTTCATGTTTTCTACTCCTGTTTTTGGTCGTTTCTAGGAAGCAAAATGAGCAAGAACGACATGATATAAAAGCTGTGCTATAAGGCTAAAATTCAAAAGCCACAAAAAAAGCGTTGTTCTATACATAGGTACTTCACAAGTTTTGTTAAAACAAAATCAGTAACCATCTCTTGAAGTTTGCCAGGATAAGTTATTTTGTTTTTGAGTCAAAAATTTGTTTTTAACGTTTTCGAATGTACTCTGCAGATTTTGTTGATAATGGAAAACTCTCCAATTTGCTTATTGGCCGTCAATAACGATCGGATTTTTGAAGTCGGATTTAGTTCCAACAATGCCCTATTATTTAGCGACGCACCGTCATAACTCACATCCTGCGAATGAGAAATGTATATTGTACTGCAGAATGGGCATTTATGACCTTTAAGGTCGCTGCATGGCGAAACAATGAGCTGTCGTAAAATATGGATTTAGTGGAAATTCGACACCCGACATTGGCAAGGGCACAGTGGCAGTTTATAGTTTGCAGAACCGCAGGAACGACCTCCAGCCTTACTTGAAGCTGAAGAAAGAATTTCTTAGGGCTGATGGAAAAAATCGAATTAGTTGTCTGATTATGAAACGAATCTAGTTCGTTTGATTAAATTGAGAAAATATCTTGGGACAGTTACAACGTAGAGGAAGAGGTGATACGGGCATTTATTGATACCTACTGAAGAAAGATAAACAGGAGACGATTTTCCGCAGCCGATTCATTCTGATGAAGAAGTTGCTCGGGTGAATGAACAGAAGGAAATAGGTGGGCTTTGTTTGAATACGCGGCAGTAGGGGTGTGCTAACCTGTTATTTTTTTCCAACAGGTGTCCGCCAAATTGGCAAAAAAAATATTTTTTTAAATAAACTGTTTGCCACAACGGGCGCTACACGGACAAATTTCGACTAGTTTTGGAACTGAATAAATTCTTATTGCTGCGAGCTGAAAACGTATCATTGCAAGACCAAAAAGTGGATCTTTGGAGACCACCCTATAAGTGGAAGAGATGGCCCAAAAATTCAAAAACTTCTTAGAGCTATTTAGTTTGTCTCTAAACTTTTGTGGTCGGGACAGAAAAAACTTAAGTTTTGTCCAACTAGGAGCAGGCCGAACTGTTTGCTTTTGTCAACTTTTTATGAAGACAACGTGTTAAATGTGATGGATTTCTGCGTAAATCACTACGTTTAATTTAGAAATAGGACCTTTGCAGTTAGTAAACCTTTGTTCTTGAGTTCTGTGGAACTTGCATAGTCTTATGTCCACCCTCAAAGATGCACTCAGGCAGGCGGCGGCAGGGTAGTAAATAACCTACACACTGGTCATCTTCGGTTCTTTTCCTGGTATAGGTACGGGAGAATGTAAAGCAGTTCTATCTGATCTCGGCAAGCTAGCGGTTGTGTACTTGTAGAACGCCTCACTGGCAACTGCTCAGCAGAATAGATGTTAAGTTTTGGTTAAGTTTGATTTCAATAAATACATTATTTTGGAAGTGTCTGTTAATTACTTCAACAAAATGTTTTACCCAATTTTTGTCCTCTTCTTCAAGCTTCTACTAGAAGTGCAGATGATTTAGACATAAATCGTGACTCTGTGCAAAGTTCAAAGAATCTTTGGTAATCATCGCATATCATCACACTAAACAAGCCTGAAAACTGGAAGATTATCAACATAGAAAGTAAAATTTTGAGAAAGAAGTTTGATCTGGATCCAAGAAGAGCCCAACTGTATGAAACTAAATTCGCCAGGGAGGGAATTTGCAATAGGAGGAACAAACATTTCTCGGCTCATCAAAACCCACATGTGAAGCAATCGGGATTTCAAGAAAAGCTCCGTTTAAAGTTTTTCATTTTGGACAAGTTTTAGAACAAATTATCGTTTGGATAGTAACGGATTTGGTGATAACTATTTGATGAGGCACCGGCGATTTGCACTGTTCCACGATCGATGTACGATTGGGTTTTTGGGATTGACCTGCTCCATCACCGGATCCCACGCCGTTAGATTTCTACTTGTAGGGTAATTTAACACTAATTCAGCAAGTGATCAGTTGCGTCTGATCTCTGCGTATGCTGGTTCAAAAATATGTGGAAGTGTGGAAGTTATTGTAGTTCAGGATATCCAGATTAGGTATCGAAATACAGGGTGTCCAGTAAGCTCATGATCGAAAGGGTACTGCCATATTATTTGGACCAAAAGGAGACGATCTGACCTAACTTTTATTTACAAAAAATGTCTGGCTCCTCTGCTATTGATGGTCTACGTTCTTCAAAAAATTTATCTTTTTTGAAATATCGGGAGAATGGTACGATGTATTTTGGTGAAACTCGCTGTGAATTTGTTCTTATGTAAGGCTCATATTTTGATGAAACAATCGAGTCAACCGTTTTGGACAAGTGGTGAATTCTTGAGTTTCGGGGTACAAAAACTACCAGAACTTTTTAGTTGGAGGATAAAATCAAATTATTTTTGTTCGGTTGATGCACTAATCATTTATTCACAATTTTGTGCTTTTTGTAAAATCTTTGTAAATTTTTTTTGTTTCTTTGCCACTTAACAATGTGAGACATTAACTGCAAATATCGTGATACAAGGCATAAATTGTCAATAAATCTCACAAATTCGATTTGAATGACCTTTTCTAACACATGTGACCGACATGGTCAAAGTATTAGGCTTTGGCGAAGACAACTTGCGTGAAAGCGTACGCGTTTACGCGGTGCATATTTGTAGTTAATGCCTAACATTGTTAAGTGGCAATAAAACAGATATACATATTTTTGTTGTGCAAAAACTATGAATGCTACAAGATTTTGCGAACAGCACAAAATTGTGAACAAATTATTAGTGCATCAATAAAAAAAAATGAGTTGATTTCAGCCACCAAATAAAAAGTTCTGGTAGTTTTTGTACCACGACACTCAAGAATTCACCACTTGTCCAAAACGGCTGAACTCGATTGCTTCATCAAAATATGAGTCTTACTTAAGAACAAATTCACAGCGAGTTTCACCAAAATACATCGCACGATTCTCCTTATATTTCAAAAAAGATAAATGTTTTTATTTAGAACCATTTGACCATCAATAGCAGAGGAGCCAAAGATTTTTTGCTAATAAAAGTTGGGTCAGATCGTCTTCTTTTGATCCAATCACAGTACCCTCTTGACCATGAGCTTACGGGACACTCTGTATAAATAATTAACACAATTATTTCGATTAATAAATCCGAAGATTGGTAATAAATAAATTTACAAAATTCGATTATTCCAATAACTAATTCGGCAGGATTTTCGCCTAAATTGCCTTGGAGTAGTACGAGGAAAATGGCTGGGTGTTTCGGGCAATTTTCTGCAATTAGTACCATATGGCATTGAAGACAATGGGCCATAAAATTAGCAACCATCTTGCATTATTTATTGATTACGTTTGCACAATGCGAACTTTGTTGCCATTTCGCGGCCTTGGCTGCGTACTACAGCGATTTATTCAGGATATTTACATCGGCATTACAGCTGCAATTAACTCGTGTTTAATGCAAGATGTTTTCAGAATTTAACGCTTTTATCATCGGAAAATAGCATAATTGAACAAGCTTTTTTTAACAAAAACTCCTCGGACTGTTCAACTTCCCACTGAATACCCTCGGCCAG